TTACAGAAAACGTTTGACCTGTATCATTGCCAACAAAGGGTATATAACAAAGTATTGAGAAACTTTTGTTATTGACCAAATACTTATTTTCCACCATAATTTGCAAATAAATTCATTAAAAATCCTACAATGTGATTTTCTGGAGAAAAAAATTCTCATTTTGTCTGTCATAGTTGACGTGTACCTATGATGAAAATTACAGGCCTCTCTCATCTTTTTAAGTGGGAGAACTTGCACAATTGGTGGCTGACTAAATACTTTTTTCCCCCCACTGTATATCTCCTACTCTCACCACTCCCCTCCCCCCTTGACCCATCTTCCTCTACTTTCTTCACTGCCTCCGCATATGACAACTTCTTCTCTACTCTTACCCTGGATACCTCAACCTGCTTCTCTCACACTGGACATGTCTGATCCCCAGCCCCATGGCCACCCCTACAATTAGCACATCCCACTACTTTCCCCACTGCTTCACACTCCTTTGTCTCGTGCCCTACTGCACACTTCTCACACCTTGGAATCTCCCTCCTACATACTGCTGCCACATGCCCATAAGTTTGACACCTGTAACATCGTAATGTACTCGGCACATAAGCTCGCGCAGGATAACTTATATATCCTAACTTAACTTTATCCGACAAAGACTCAACTTCAAAACTCAAAAGAACAGACAATGACTCTTCTGTTTCCCCGTTTCTCGCCACCCTGTTTACATCGCACCAAACGAAGAGCATCACACACACCGGGAATCTTCTCCTTCAGTTGATCCACTTTTACATTTACTGCTACACCAGAACTCTCTCTTCTCAATGGCACCCTTTTCCTAAGAGCGAAACAATTCACAATTCTTTCCCCCATTTGTTTAACTCTGAGCGCCTTCTCCCTCTGACCAACAGAAACACAAACAATTATCACTAGACCACTTCCGGTTACCCTCACCGATTCCACTTTACCCAACGCTTTTTTTCACCCATCTTGAAACCACAAATGGATCCGCCAAAAGGCAGAGCAGGAGATGTTCACCCCTCCGCGTCCAGACTGCAAATGAATCGCGCATGCGGGAAGCCGCCGCTGGCTGATCCCACCCTGGCTGATCCCGCCGCTGGCTGATCCCGCCCTGGCTTACATTCAGAACGGGATGTAAATGTAAAACATTTAAAAAAAAAAACAAGAATCGACAGAAGAAAGTTCATCTGTAGTTCTAAACATATTTAGGGTGTTTTTTACTCACTTTTTGTCTCTCTTACAGCGTTATTCCTCTCTCCTACAGCGTTATTCCCCTCTCCTACAGCGTTATTCCCCTCTACTACAGCGTTATTCCTCTCTCCTACAGCGTTATTCCCCTTTCCTACAGCGTTATTCCTCTCTCCTACAGCGTTATTCCTCTCTCCTACAGCGTTATTCCTCTCTCCTACAGCGTTATTCCCCTCTCCTACAGCGTTATTCCTCTCTCCTACAGCGTTATTCCTCGCTCCTACAGCGTTATTCCCCTCTCCTACAGCGTTATTCCTCTCTCCTACAGCGTTATTCCTCTCTCCTACAGCGTTATTCCTCACTCCTACAGCGTTATTCCTCTCTCCTACAGCGTTATTCCTCTCTCCTACAGCGTTATTCCTCTCTCCTACAGCGTTATTCCCCTCTACTACAGCGTTATTCCTCTCTCCTACAGCGTTATTCCTCTCCCCTACAGCGTTATTCCTCTCTCCTACAGCGTTATTCCTCTCTCCTACAGCGTTATTCCTCTCTCCTACAGCGTTATTCCTCTCTCCTACAGCGTTATTCCCCTCTCCTACAGCGTTATTCCCCTCTCCTACAGCGTTATTCCTCTCTCCTACAGCGTTATTCCTCTCTCCTACAGCATATTCCTCTCTCCTACAGCGTTATTCCTCTCTCCTACAGCGTTATTCCTCTCTCCTACAGCGTTATTCCCCTCTCCTACAATGTTATTCCCCTCTCCTACAGCGTTATTCCTCTCTCCTACAGCGTTATTCCCCCTCTCCTACAGCGTTATTCCCACTCCTACAGCGTTATTCCTCTCTCCTACAGCGTCCATCACAATTACATGCACATGGCCAATTATGCAAATTAGGCGATGACATCATTTAGAGACTTCTAGCGACTTTTAGGACAGCCAATAGCTACTTTCCTTACTGAGGAGTTGGTAACAGTGCACATTTTCTGATCAAGCATAAACTGTCTCTTAGGCTATGAAAAAGAACAGGTATGATTAGTCTACTTACACTTCTTCAGGTGAGGTAATATCTTTAGAAACACGACGGAGAAATTGACAGATTACCTTTACCACGTCATTAGAAGTCCTGAAAGTCAAACAAATGGAAAGGGTCTTTCCGACAGCCTAATATTTCCCGTCATCATGCATGCATCAAGCATGTAAGTGAAACGGGGGATACCTAGTCAGTTGTACAACTGAATGCATTCAACTGAAATGTGTCTTCCGCATTTAACCCAACCCCACTCATTATTGGGAATGTTTTTATTTATTTATTTGTTTTCTTTGTCATTTAGCAGACGCTCTTATCCAGAGCGACTTACAGGAGCAATTAGGGCATGTGTGAAAGCTTTTCAATTTGTCTTACTTATTTTACGGTTTACGAAAAAAAAAAAAAAAAAACATCACTGTCAAGAGAGAACCTACATTAAGACAATATGAATAATATAATAATTTGAAAAATTAATGTAAAAATCTAAGGCGGTGTAATGCCATTGAGGGAAATACAAGTTATTACATTCTATAAAATGACAGTTAAGATGACAGCTAAGAACCAATTAGGACTCTATCTTTTATTACTGTCATTAGGCCTAGCCTATTAAATCTGTTTTGGCGTATGACGTGATTTATTAGTAAATGGTGCTGAAATGTCCCTTCTTTTTTCCCCCTCCTCGCAGGCAGGTTTCAAGTTGCAATCAAGGAGGAGCTGAGAGTCTTCCGTGGCGGCTGTTGGAAACCTGCTCCTCAAATATAAAGAGATGTTTTGCCTTCCAACCGCAAGCAAACACCGAATCACAACCTCATAGGAGGAGATCAGAAACCATACACACGGTTCTTCTCATAACCAAAAGTGGTCAACCAGTGTTGCCTAGACTAATAGCCTACAGCTCAACCAATTTAGTCAGTTGAAGAGATCAGATCGTTACAAACGAATTATTTATTCTAAGAAAGTTCTATATAGGGTGACATCAGCTAAATTGGGCCACTTTTTGGTAAATCGTTTGGGACAATAATACAATACCATATATGCCTTTTCCATGTGTTTTTATGATTAATAATGACTGTTTTTGATAATTTTGTGTTGAAATTATTTAATAAAATATAATTATTTAGGCCCTACAGTTCTTGAAACATCAGCTCTGCCAACATTTGTTGCATGAGCAGTTTCAGGTAAAATGGGCCACAGCTTCAGGTAAAATGGGCCAGTCAAACTCCAAAGGGAAATAGTCATTTATCATCAATTTTAATTTTAAAACACAGTTGCTTATACAGCCACATAACATTTAAACTGCATTAAACAAAAATTCATATGTGCCATTCAAAAAACATTTTGGGTGCAAACCCACATATTCAAATGTGCAATTAAAAAAATCCATTTTGGAACAGCATAGATCAGTGAACTGTCAGTGGTGTGTGTGTGTGTGTGTGTGTGTGTGTGTGTGTGTGTGTGTGTGTGTGTGTGTGTGTGTGTGTGAACAACACATTTAGAACAAAATGTGCATTCACAAAAATACAAAAATTCACATTCCAAATTATTAACTGATATGTTTGTGTGAAAACTTTTCAAACACAGTCTTTGCAAATGAAACCATCGTCAGCACAGATACCATTGTCTTCACCACAGCTCTCATGAAACCAGGCAGAACATGGAACACATTTTAACCATTCCTCAGTAGCCTTAGGGTCATTTGGGTTTCTTCACTCCCTCCCTGTATTCATCTAAGGCACCCTTCATCCTCTCCTCTTTCCACAGATTGTAGTTGTTTGGCCTTCCTTTCCCTCCCTGTTTTATCTTTGTATCCTTTCCTCTCTGGTCCTTGCTCCTCCTCTCTTTTCTCTCGTTCTGTCTCCTCTCATTTCCTCTGCATTCCTTTCTCCTCACCTGTTCTCTCACTTCCTGTCTCCTCTGCTTGTCTCCTCTCTCATCCTTCCTTCTCCTCTCACTTCCTCTCTCTTTCCTTCTCCCTCTCTCCTCTCCTCTCGCTTCCTTCTCGTTTGCCATACTCACTGTAAATAAAATACTACCATTATTACTGTTGGGGGGGGTCATGGTGTGAGTGTGTGTGTGTGTGTGTGTGTGTGTGTGTGTATGCACGTACATACACATACAAACACAAACACACACCCTTACACACAAACTCACTCACACACACTCAAACACATGTGTATGTGTGTTTGTGAGTGACACAAATGATGGCCCATTTTAGCTGAAACCATGTGGCCCATTTTACCTCAAGGGGTTAAGGTAAATTGGGCCCCCCAAAAAAGCATCACTTTTTCAAAAAATATGTTCATATACCAAACTAACAACATTATTTCTGATTGATGCCATCAAGACAGATATTATGCATAGTTTTTTATGGGCATGTTGTTGTTTTTTTACAGATTTATCATCCTTATAATAGTTTAGTTAGATTTGGTATGCCAGGCTACTCACCATGCAGCTTTCTGGTGCAGTCTTGATTTGAATTATTGCACTGCCCACCATAGCAACCATGAACCAATCAAATCACCTGTTACTTGTCAAGTACAGTTATGACAACAGTTTGAAATCCTTTGCAGTCATTGGCTCTAAATTCCAGAGGGGCTGGGACCCCCAAACCTTAAATGGCCCATTTTACCTGATGGCCCATTTTACCTGATATCACCCTATCTTATGGAACGTATTTCTTAAGGCGCATTCCATTGTAATAGCATCTAGCGAATTGAGAGCAACTGAAGTTTTGTTGAGAGAGAGAGAGGGAGAGAGGAGAGTGCGCGGAGAGTGAGGATGGCTGCATTGATCAGCGCGTACTCGTCTTGGCCGGAGAGCTTTGAGTGCTCGGCGGGAGATGGGGATGTGGCCGACGGACACGGCTCACACAGAACTCCCGTGGACAAGGCGTCGGAGCCGCGCATCAGACGGCCCATGAATGCGTTCATGGTCTGGGCTAAAGATGAGAGGAAGCGCCTGGCTGCACAGAATCCGGACCTGCACAACGCAGAGCTCAGCAAGATGCTGGGTGAGATGAACGTTTATTTTTTACGGACATATTTTAATATTTATAGATACAATATTTAGGCTATTATCATTATGCTATATCCAGGCTCTGCCAAAAAGTTATCCTGTGTCAAATCACACCTATTCCTAGCCTACAACTTTCCACGGTAGTTGAGATGAGAAATGATGTATTCAACTTTAGCCTAAAGTATATCAAGAAAATATAATCGATCAAAAATATATAAACTTCTTAGTTTCTTGAGCATCATCCATATATGTTATCTCCTACAATAAATGAAAAATAAACTCCTCACGAAAACTTAAAGTGGCAGTAAATTAATGAGTGGACGTCGCTAATTCGATTAAAAGGCAATCAATCTCATTGCACAAAGTTCTCTTAAATGTAGGTAGTTTATCACGAGGCCTGTCGGTCACTTGGATTAGTGCGTAAATCTCAACGTGCGCCCTTGCACGTCGTTATTGTCTGTTTTCCGTCACTCACAATTATATTTCGCTCATAAAATACATAAAAACAGACAAACTATATTAGGCAGTTAAATGTAAATACATATTTGCTAATTTTGATACATTTTGAAAGCATAGGCCTATCCATTCCTATTGAACTGACGGGGATGAACTTTTAAGGCTCAAAATAAAGACTTACATTTTGACTTATTTGTTGCTTTTTCGTTAAAATTAGGTTAACTTTCGGTATAACAGGTAGTTCATTATTTCGTTAAAATTATTGAATGAGTATTATGTTCCTCTTTGCCCCCCAAAAAAGTGTAGCCCGTATTACAGTGTAGATATAGAGGAAATGTTTTCCTCTAACGCAGTATTCAGTTAAAATATTAATTAAAGTGAAGTTTTTACATGGACTTAATTTGTATTTTATTTTTCAGGATAAGGTATCCTAGCCCAAAATCCCCTTTGCTATTATGATGCTATTATTTTCGGTTAGTGCACAACTCTTCCACCACGGAATATGGTGAATAATTTAGTTTCAACCAGATGTAATTAATAATTTGGTATGTGTGTTAGACTATGCATTTTCCAACTTTAGGTTGCTGAAAGGTGTGAGACACTTTATTGAAGTTTCCACCAACTGAGAATATGTGATGTTTAGATTTAAAATAAAGATGTATTATTTTTAAGGGAACGAGTTTTTCAGTGAGATTTTGTGTGGAATGAAATCGACAAAAATAAATGAGGCTACCTATTCCATGAAAAACACAGATACAACTCATCAACACGAGAGAGAGAGAGTTTAACTGATCAACATTAGAGAGAGAGAGAGAGTTTATACTTTATTTAGATATAAAGCATGGAAGGGAAATTGACAATGTTTTCCTCAAATATATTTTTCTGTTCAATTCCTCCAAAAGAAGAAAACGGACATTTAGTAAAGACATCTTGTGGAAATTAGATCTGACATCACTAGATGTTCATAAATTATCTTCAGGATAATTCTCAACAGTTGAAGGTGCATTTCATTTCAATGCAACAACTATGTCATAATAACTCATGAACAAAACACACCGTGCAACCATTTTGTTTTTACAGGAGCTTTTGCTCTCTGTACGTCCTTCAAAAAGAATAACCTCCATTGAACAAGAAAATAAGTGCTATTTTGGATGATAAAGTCATTTTAAAAAGGTAGAAACTCCAGCACATTGGTGATCTTGGATGTTCCGCAAACATTTTTTTTTTTATGGATTACAAATTCCGTTCTATTGAACATTGACAATTAGTGCTTATTCGTTGATGCTAAACTAATACCAGCTCCGTGTTTTCCACACTAATGTTTCAGTCAGCTAATATGTCTTTTAAAAGTTATCCTCCATCGAACATACAACAACAACAACAACAACAAAATAAGTGAATTGGTCTTATCAATCAATAATAATCATTGCAGACAATAAATGAATATAAGTCCTGTTGTTTCCTCCTCCCAGGCAGGTCGTGGAAGGCCCTGACCCCCCCTCAGAAGCGTCCCTACGTGGAGGAGGCCGAGAGGCTGCGGGTGCAGCACATGCAGGACTACCCCAACTATAAGTACCGCCCCCGTCGGAAGAAGCAGCTAAAACGTATCTGTAAACGTGTGGACCCCGTGTTCCTACTGGGCAGCCTGGCGGGCCCCAACCGGAATTCCCTGCCCGACCCCCGGGGCCTCTGCCTCCCCTTGGGTTTGGATAAGGATGGGGATGGGGTTATTGGCGGCGACGGAGGTGTTGGGTTCTTGACCGTCTCTTCCCCCAGCCCGGGGCCTCTACCTGGGGTTAGATCCTTCAGAGACGTACCGTCCGGCTCCAGCTCCGGCAGCTTCGACACCTACCCCTACGGACTTCCCACCCCGCCTGAGATGTCCCCTCTGGATCACGCTCTAGACCACGACCACCCCTCTTACTACCCTTCCTCCTCCTCCTCTTCCTCCTCCTCCTCGTCCGTCTCCTGCCCCGAGGAATGCCACCAGCAGCACCAACGTCAGGGTCAGACCCCCGGAGGTGGAGGTGGGGGTCACATGTGCCTCAGTCCTTCATCCTACCACCCTGACTACACCCAGACCCAGACTTCCGTCCGCTGTGGTGGCTCCCGCTCCCACCTGGCCCACCTCTCCCATGTGTCCCAGGCCCAGTCCGGAGGCCTCATCCCTGGGAATCCTCTGTCCTACTACAGCCCATCCTCCTGGTCCTCTCAGCTCCAGGTCCACCCGGGCTTCAATCACCCTCACTTAGGCCACCTGTCCCCAGGTCACCAGCACCACCTTGGTCAGCTCTCCCCTCCTCCAGAGCAGAACCACAGTCATCTGGACCAGCTGAGTCAGGTAGAGCTTCTAGGGGAGGTCGACCGTGACGAGTTCGACCAGTACCTGAACTCGACGGCGGCGGGCGCGGCAGCAGCGGGGGTGGGGATGTTCCACTCCGAACAGGGAGGAGGGGGGATGACGGTGACGGGTCACATCCAGGTGACATCGGCCTCAGCGCCGTCTTCTGAGGGCAGCGTCGTCGGGGAAACCAGCCTGATCTCTGTGCTGGCGGACGCCACGGCAACGTACTACAACAACTACGGCATCTCTTAGACGGGGGACGGGTTGCCGAGGTCGCCATGCCGACGCCCACCGCTCCCGTCATCACACCTGGAAATGACCAGGGGACATATGTCTCAAGCCTTTCAGTGTAGTAGTGCTGATCTAGGATCAGACCCCCCCCCCCCCCCCCCGTCCATATAATCTTATTCATTGTGATCTAAACCGATCCTAAGTCAGCACTCCTACTCTGAGAAGCTTGATACCTGTGGCCCTAGGTAGAGGCCATGGAGATGGGTGAGGGTCGACAGCAGGAACAATCACATAGATACATGATTGTTTGGGGCCGAGAGAGGAGGGGGAGAGGGGAGAGAGGGGAGAGGGGAGAGAGAGGAGGGGGAGAGGAGAGAGATAGGAGGGGAGAGTGAGAGGGATGAGGAGTGGAGAGGAGAGGGGCGGAGAGAGGAGGAGGAGGGGGATAGAGAGGGGGAGGGAGGAGAGGGAGGGGGAAGAGGGAGAGAGGGAGGGGGAGAGGGGAGAAGAGAGGAGGGAAGAGGAGAGGAGGGAGAGAGGAGGAGAGGAGAGAGGAGGGTGTAGCAGTTGTCGACTTCTGATATCCATTGCAAGATCTGGACAGTGCGAGAGTCAGTGAGCTCAGCACTGTTGTCACTTCATTTTATCTTCTTCTCCAATAACGTCATGTCATTTAGTCTGTGTCTCTGTTGTCTACGTTTCTCGTAGTATGCTTCTTCAGTACTGATTTTACCTAATGCTTATCGTAAGCTGTATTCATCTTCGTTGAAGTTATATGTACCCAACAATAGTTGGAGTTTTACCTCAGTAGTAAATGAGGATTAGATGGACATTTCTTATGCCAATTCTCCTAGACAACATGACCGGGTCACAAATGGCACCCTACTCCCTTTATAGTGCACTACTAGGAACCGTAGGGCTCGTGTCGAAAGTAGTGCACTATAAAGGGAATCGGGTGCCATTTTGAGACGGAGCCACGGTGTATCATGAAGAAAAATACTTTATATACTTTTTATTTTCAAGTATTTAATGTATAATCATAATCTTTACAATGAACATAGTAATGATGATAACTATGTATTTACTGTATGCTGATTTAGGTTTGTGAAGTTGAATTAATTTAAAATAAAAGTTCCACTTTTATATAAAAATATTTGCAACTTGGATATAACCACACGCCGACATACACAGACCAACATCAGGGTATATCAAAATATTTTGGATAATTTGGTATAATACTGCATAATGCTAATAATACTCAAATATATATGATATTGTACTGAAGAAAGGGGGTTAAGACTTCTTTTCAATAGACAGCTGTTTGCTTATAGCAAGTATTTATAGCAAAAATAGTATTGTGAATGATGAAATTATCTCAGCATTGGTTTTTGCTGCAAGAAGTAACCAAGAGGAACACTGGTTACTGGTAATATTATTATGTCAGTGATGTTGATACGAGTGTGTCACCAATGCCTGCTCGGACTCTCTCTCTCTCTCCCCTCCTCCCCTCTTTCATTCCTCCCTGGTTCAGATGATTAGTGTAAAACATGCTCCCCCCCCTCCTCTGCTCCCCCCTGCTGCTCCCTCTCCTCTCTCCTCTCCCCCCTCCTCCCTTCTTCTCCCCCCCCCTCTTCCTCCTGTTCTTCGTGTCTTCCTCCTCCCCCCTCTCCTCTCTCTCTCTCTACTTCTCTCCCCCCTCCTCCCCCTCTTTCATTCTCTCCTGGTCAGATGATTAGTGTAAACATGCTCGTCTCTCCTCTCTGGCTCTCCTCTCTCTCCTCCCCTCTCTCTCTCTCGCTCTCTCTCTCTCTCCTCTCTTCTTCTCCTTTCTTCTCCCTCTCCCTCCATCGTCTCCTCAGTCTCTCTCTCTCTCTGTTCTTTATAAACTGTAGTTGTAGAGTGAAATAAATAAACAAATAAATCAGCATGTTCTTCACCATTGACTGTTTCTAAAATGTTCCTCATTTCTCTCTCTCCCCCCGTCTCCTTTTTCCTCCCAGAATTCTTCTCTCTCTCTCTGATAAAAGGAATTCAGGGGGCTTTTGACAAATCCTGGAGTCTGGCACTTTAGCTCGGCGGGTCTTCCTGCGTTGTTGTTTTTTGGGACCAGCTGAGTCGTGCTCCTAGTGAAGAGGATGTGACTGCTGCGTGGTGTTTCCTGACTGATAAGACCTGAGCATCAGGATGTTTGGGGGTCGGCTGGGCCGCGGCAGTAAAGAGGGGAGCGGAGGGGAGGGGAGGGGAACCCATTGGTCGGTATGGGGGATAGAGAGGAGGAAACGGGGCTGGGTTTACTGGGGGACCTTGTCGACCTGGCTGGCTGGCTCAACATGCCTCGGCCACACACACACACACATGCAAAGAGACACACACACAGAGGTGGCCACACACGGCTGGCCGGACACCGACTAATTACTCTGTCAGATCAGTCTTAACTGACCTCTGATATCATTTATTATTATGAACAGAACTCTGATATCATTTATTATTATGAACAGAACTCTGATATCATTTATTATTATGAACAGAACTCTGATATCATTTATTATTATGAACAGAACTCTGATATCATTTATTATTATGAACAGAACTCTGATATCATTTATTATTATGAACAGAACTCTGATATCATGTATTATTATGAACAGAACTCTGATATCAGATATTATTATGAACAGAACTCTGATATCAGATATTATTATGAACAGAACTCTGATATCAGATATTATTATGAACAGAACTCTGATATCATGTATTATTATGAACAGAACTCTGATATCATTTATTATTATGAACTGACCTCTGATATCATTTATTATTATGAACTGACCTCTGATATCAGATATTATTGTGAACTGACCTCTGATATCAGATATTATTGTGAACTGACCTCTATCAGATATTATTATGAACTGACCTCTGCAAAGAAAGAATGTCCGTATCCAAGACCACCACACTTACAGTTAAACACGTGTCCAGTTAGGGACTCTCCTTCCCAGTACCCAGTACCTGTTTCTAATAAACCTACACCACACAGCACTACACAGCTCCCATGGGTTGAGTCGCAAGTAGCACCACCATATACCCTATTCCCTATATCGGGCCTGCTCAAAAGTAGTGCGCTATATAGGGAATAGGGTGCCATTTGGGATGAGAATCCCTACACTACAGCACTTTTTGCTCCTGGTGAATCTGATTTAAAGTCCAATGGAATGACAACATTCATCAAATGCCAGAGTTTACAGTTGCAGCACCACTGTGCTCACTCTGACAGGACTAAGATCATACCATGTCCTTCCTGCAGGCTCGCTGGCTCTGTTAGGGGGAGAAGGTTGGCCCCAGGCAGGGGTCTGTAACCGCTCTGTTAGGGGGAGAAGGTTGGCCCCAGGCAGGGGTCTGTAACCGCTCTGTTAGGGGGAGAAGGTTGGCCCCAGGCAGGGGTCTGTAACCGCTCTGTTAGGGGGAGAAGGTTGGCCCCAGGCAGGGGTCTGTAACCACTCTGTTAGGGGGAGAAAGTTGGCCCCAGGCAGGGGTCTGTAACCGCTCTGTTAGGGGGAGAAGGTTGGCCCCAGGCAGGGGTCTGTAACTGCTCTGTTAGGGGGAGAAGGTTGGCCCCAGGCAGGGGTCTGTAACCGCTCTGTTAGGGGGAGAAGGTTGGCCCCAGCACCTACAAGGGTCAGAGTACACTCATAAGAGAAAGGGTTATTCGACTGTCCCCATAGGAGAGCCCTTTATGGTTCCTCTGTGGAAAGGGTTATACATGGAACCAAAAGGGTTCTACCTGGAACCAAAAGGGTTCTACCTGGAACCAAAAGGGTTCTACCTGGAACCAAAAGGGTTTCTACCTGGAACCAAAAGGGTTCTTCAATGTTTTCTCCTATGGGGACAGGCAAAGAACCCTTTTAGGTTCTAGATAGCACCTTTTTTTCTAAGAGTGTAGGGCTCCGTAACAGCCTCCCCCAGCCTCCCCCAGCCTAACCCCAGCCTCCCCTATCCTACCCCAGTTAAAGACTCCCCCTGTGGTGCCCTAACAACCACTTCCCCCGCCCCCGGGGTAGTACATAGGAACAGGGAAAAGGACAAACACTGAACACTAGATCAACTCCAAACACTGAACACTAGATCAACTCCAAACATTGAACACTATATCAACTCCAAACACTGAACACTAGATCAACTCCAAACACTGAACACTAGATCAACTCCAAACACTGAACACTAGATCAACTCCAAACACTGAACACTAGATCAACTGCAAACACTGAACACTAGATCAACTCCAAACACTGAACACTGAAAACTAGATCAACTCCTAACACTGAACACTAGATCAACTCCAAACACTGAACACTAGATCAACTCCAAACACTGGACACTAGATCAACTCCAAACACTGAACACTAGATCAACTCCAAACACTGAACACTAGATTAACTCCAAACACTGAACACTAGATCAACTCCAAACACTGAACACTAGATCAACTCCAAACACTGAACACTAGATCAACTGCAAACACTGAACACTAGATCAACTCCAAACACTGAACACTGAAAACTAGATCAACTCCTAACACTGAACACTAGATCAACTCTGAACACTAGATCAACTCCAAACACTGAACACTAGATCAACTCCAAACACTGAACACTAGATCAACTCCAAACACTGAACACTAGATCAACTCCTAACACTGAACACTGAACACTAGATCAACTCTGAACACTGAACAATATATCAACTCCAAACACTGAACACTAGATCAACTGCAAACACTGAACACTAGATCAACTCCAAACACTGAACACTAAATCAACTCTGAACACTGAACACTAGATCAACTCCAAACACTGAACACTAGATCAACTCCAAACACTGAACACTAGATCAACTCCAAACACTGAACACTAGATCAACTGCAAACACTGAACACTAGATCAACTCCAAACACTGAACACTGAAAACTAGATCAACTCCTAACACTGAACACTAGATCAACACTGAACACTAGATCAACTCCA